TTGATGCAAGCTTCCCCCTGCGACCAGCATGCCACTGCATCCCTTGGCACTCGTCTAATGCCAGTAAGGAGGGCCAGAGAGAGCATAGAGACCTGGTGCCACCCAGGACATTGTGTCCCCCCTCTCCCCCCCCTCCCCCCCCCCACCCAAATGGAAGGATAATGCGTCTGCTCTTATGATTTTAATAGGGTGATGGCGAAGGGACACTGGAACCGGTTTGCAGCCTCACTGTTTATGAGTGATGGTATATGGGACGCTGGACCCGGTTTCCAGCAGGTCAGTTTTTCAGATGTAAACCAACATAAGGCATGCTGGACCTGGTTTCCGGCAGGGGCTGCTCCCCGCCATAGATTGGAGTAACCAGCGAGGACTCGCTAGGGGGAGGTGCTGTTATCAACCCCCCCCTCCCCCAGTGGGGTCGGGGCTGGTTAAAAAAAATAAAGAGAAAGAAACAAAAAAGGACTCAAATGAAACAGTATTCACCAGTTCGCAGTAGCCGATGCAGATCCCAGGGCTCGATCCCTAGCCCTCACCTTACCTGTGGATAGTATCTGTGTCGACCCCTGGAGTTGAACCCGTGACCTGTGTATTGTAACAGTTCGTAGACAGTGACTGTCTTAGGGTCCGTAGGCAGTAGGGGTTTGATCCGTAGACCTGTCGGGTAGGAGTCCTAGCAGGGTCTAGAAGTCGTAGCTGTAGTTCTCCCGAAAGGTCAAGGTCGTAGCTGCTACAGTATCGAAAGGCCAAGTCTACGGCCTTCCCGAAGGTCCAAGTAGTGGCCTTTCGAAGTTGCCCATGTTTAGGCTGAGGCAAGTGGGCAAGTGGTGGAGTCTACCCGTGCTGAGTCAGCAGTCCCAGTCCCAGTCAGTCCTAGTCCAGTCAAGCAAGTACTCCATGGGACTGTATGCACTACGGGCATGGGAAAGGGCCAGACCAACGAGCTGCAGAAGCATAAATCAAGAGGCAGCGCCCAGCCAGTCATTCATTCCTGCGTGAGCCATGCAGAAGCGCTGCTACAGCGACTTGTGCGAGGTGGTCTGCAGTCAGCCCGAAGACGAAGTGGGCGAGAGAGAAGAAGCTTAGCCATAGCGATAGGTTAGCAGCGGCCATAGCCGCCAATGCTGTAGACAGAGTTCAGTGTGTGTGTGTGTGTGTGTGTGTACAGAGTATCGCGTGTGGGATATCCAGGGTGATCCTGTGTGTGCGAACAGAGAGTTGAGTGGGCGCTGTGTCTCCATAGCCATTGAAGTGAACTTGTATCTGAACTGTGTTCTCGGCTACCATATCTCTGAGTTTTGAGTGGGCGCTTGTCGCCAGTTTGCTGCGCACCTGTTTGCATACAATGTCATGTGAAGTGTGAAAGGTAACGAGTCTGATTGCACAAAGCGCAGCGCAATGCGTCAGCTTCAGATTGCCAATGATTGATTACCAAGCATTGATCATTGAGCACGACAATTGCAAGGACTCGTTGTGATTCAGAGCTGCATGTTGGGTTAATTTGCAATTTCAATTTTTCACTAACCTCAAAGATCTTGTGCGCAGGTTGTGCAACCTAAATTGTCACTAACCTCCAAGACGTTATGCAACTTTTTTTTTTTTTTTTTTTTTGGGATAATGATCCAATCTATTCGTGGGGAGCCGCACGTGCTGGGAACCGGTCCCAGAGTCCCATTTGAAACATGAAACATATTTGAGAACTTATACAGAAAAACTTTGAGGTACCAGGGCTTTTACCCGGCTTTGTCTGAGAATGGATCATGTGCAATTACTAGCCTATTCGATGAAGAACCCCACGAAATAGGCTGGAATTCAGAAAAAGTTTGAAAAAATCTGAAAAACTTGGCTAAGAAAGTTCTGAACTATTTAGAAAATTACTACGACAACCTTCAGAGAAAAAGGGGCTACCCACAACAAAAATCGCCACCACAAAGGTCCTACAAATGTTCCAAACCCTCGGAATCCCTAGCAAACCCTTCTAAAACTCTCCAACACTGTCTTACTCCCTGCCGAGCTCTTCCAGGCCTCACACCCCCACCCTGTTGGGTTACAGGGCAACACAACTCGCCCCAGCTCCGACCAGCGTCGTTCCAGCAGCAACCCTTGGTTGTCCCTCAGAATGCCCACCCCAAAGCATTCCCAGATCTCTCTACCAGGTCTCACACTCCTGCATCAGCAGGTTACAGGGCAACACCCCAGTACCGGCCAACGTCGTTCTGGCATCGAACAGCTGCAGATCACTGAGTATAACAGCAATGGAGCCCCCTAAAATGAGTTGCTAGGAGTCCCCAGAATCACAAATCATTCGTAAGACCACCAGTAACAACCATGAACAACCAACAAAGCCTTAGATCATAGGAACGTTCAGATCGAAAACCAAACACTTGCCTTAGTGCTTTCAGCAGCCCAACCCTATCTGCCTCCCCCCTATGTCCCGATACTCAATCTTTACCAGGCCTCACACCCCCAACTGCTACGTTACAAGTGGCATGACCCACCCCAGAAGTCCCTGATCTTCTAGGCTACCCCAGCTCCGGCCAGTGTCAACTGAATACCAGCTCACCAATGGACATTAAAGTGCCTTCCACCCTCGACAACTCTCCAGATCTCTCTACCAGGTCTCATACCCCCGTACAGCTCAAGTTACAGGGTAGCGCAACCAAGCCCCAGCACCGACCAGCGTCGTTCTGGCCTCGTCCATTCGCAAACCATGGGGACCAAGAACATCAGCAAATAGCAGCCCAGCCCCCTCACCACCATAGCTGTAGTTCCTATCATACAGCTCCTCCTGGCCTCATTTTTTAAAGAACTAATGAATAATTTTTCAACTGGAGCAACATTCAATGCCTACAGTTCCACAAGAAGAGGGGAAGGGAGGGACAAACTACCCTCTCTCCCATGAAAACTCCAGCGCAAGTCTCAACTGTGTTACCGCGCGCTGATTGATCGCGGGGTCGGAATTTGAGCTCCGCTCAATCCCGCGCTCAAAAGCGATTGAGCGAGGTTTGAGCGGCAAGGGAATATTTTTTCCCCCGGGAAAGAATAAGAAATATATATATATATATATATCGTCAAATAGAAATAGGGTTGTAGATATTTTTTAGATCTACAATCGTACGTTTTTAATTTTATTTTTTGAAGATTTGCTATATTTAAAAAAAAATCAAAAACATGAAAGAAAGAAAAAAAACAAAAAAAATAATATGAAATGGGTGGGTTTTTCTTTTTTTCACAGGGAATTTGTTGGGGGCAAACAATAAACACAAACAATAATAAAAAATAGAGGGTTGTAGGTCCAGTTGACCATGGCGGACTGGGATTTCTCCACCGGAGTTGACGAGGATTTTGCGCTTATGCCTGATGCTGAGAGGAAGCACGAACGGCAGAGGAAGCGGTATACCATCCTCGTTCCTACTCGGGGCTTGCATGTGGGGCTATGGCTGGCTGTGTATGCTCCTATTGCGTGGATGCCACTTCTGTTGTTTTTTGCAGGATGATATAACCCCTCTGACAAGCCGGATCTGTGGCGACGGCGAAAAAGCTTTAAATTTAGGGGACGCCACACCCCTCCTGCCAGCACGAGATTCCATCGGGAGCTGAGGAGTCGCCCGACAAAAGTGCTACCTGGCTGCCATTTCAACGGACCTTCCCGAATTACTGCTAAACGCTAGTGGGATTGGTGTGACGTGCGGGATGACTGAGAATGATGATTGACGATGGGGGATAAGTGCTTGTGGAAAGACTTAAGGGTTGTGGGTCTACCGGCGGTGGGAAGCGGAGGAATTTTTGGCTGACCTCGGCCAAGTAACTTGGAAGGAGGAAGTGATGCACGGGAAGGAGAAATGAGGAGAGTGTGGGTCTACATGATACAGAGCTGTATGGGACAGAGGGAGGTTGTACCCTGGGGTGCTTGCACTGTAAGCAGAGGGATTGCTGATTCTCAGGAGGACGGAGCGGTATTTTGATATTCATAATGCAAGTGGACCCGCCGCAGCTACGCTGCGGCAAAGGTCGATGACAAAAACAATTTGCGGAAACACTCCAGTCATCAGCTGGACCCGATCTTTGCAATGAACCCCCACGGAACGCTGCCCAACTTTGCAATACACCTCGGCAGTTGCCTAGTTTTGTAGGTGCAATTGTGAAAGGCAAAGCGAATTAGACCACGTGCCTGTAGGAGTGTATATTTCAATATTGTAGCGGAAGATTCATCCGATTTTACTCATCCTATCGCCGCGGGGTTGCAGGCTTACCTGTTGGCCGAACCGATCGATGGAAAACTCTCTCTCTCTCTCTCTCTCTCTCTCTCTCTCTCTCTCTCTCTCTCTCTCT